CTTACTGCGGGGCGCACGGGCCACAGGGATAAGAGCCTCGTTGGACGTAGAATCGCTGTTTACCAACGTACCTGTGGACGAGACAATCGGAATGATAGCCGACAGAGTGTATCGTGATCCAGCCTGTACTCCTCTTGACATGCCAGAAAGTATTCTGAGGAAACTACTCCAAGCTTGTACTAAAGAGGCACCCTTCTTGAGCCCGGATGGGCATATGTATAAGCAAGTAGATGGGGTCGCTATGGGTTCTCCCCTAGGTGTCCTGTTTGCAAACTTCTACATGGGTACCATCGAGCAAAAAGTCTTAGTCGACATGAACTTGAAACCGGCCATATACTGCAGGTATGTTGACGACATTTTACACAGGTACCTGATGTCAGACATCTGCAGGAGCTGAAGGAGGCATTTGAGCAGAGTTCCGTGCTGCGTTTCACTTACGAGACGGAAAAGGATGGGAAGCTGCCTTTTCTAGATGTAACAGTCATGGAAAAGGGCGGAGGTTTCCACACTGCAGTCTACACAAAGGAAACAAACATAGGAATGTGCCTAAATGCCAACAGCGACTGCCCTGACAGGTACAAGAGGAGTGTTGTTAACGCATATGTCGACCGTGCTCTCAGCCACAGCTCAGAATGGAAGCAAGTCGACGAAGAACTCTGTAGGGTAAGGCAGGTTCTAGTCAATAACGGCTTCTCCAATGGTTTCATCGAAGACATCATAAGAAGGAAAGTGAAAAGCCATGCAACCTCCGAAGAGACAACTAACACAACACCTATACCCCCTATTAGACTATTTTACAGGAACTTCTTTTCCACAGCTCATAAAACAGAGGAAAGGGTCCTGAAGATATTGTTAATAGAAACGTTATCCCTACAGACAAAAATCAGAGGATACAACTGACGATTTACTATAAAACCAGAAAAACGGCCAGCCTACTCATGAGAAACTCTCCAGACACGAAACAGAACGCTTTAAAAGAGACTAACGTCGTCTATGCCTTCAAATGCCCACTTGGGGACTGTAAGCTCCAAAAAACCCAGTATATAGGCAAGACAACAACATCTCTTTCTAGGCGTTTAACGATGCATAAACAACAGGGCTCCATTAAGGAACATATAATCTCTTCCCATAACCAAACCATCGCCAGAGAAATCCTAGTAAACAACACAGAAATCATCGATAGATACAGCGATAGCAGGCGGCTTGACGTTTGCGAGGCACTACACATCAAGAAGTCAACACCAGCAATCAACAGCCAATTATTGCACAACTATATTCTACCCACCTCAAGACTCCGCTCCAATATAGAAGCATCAAGAAATATGGACCAATAGGCTTTCTACAAACACTTCTATTCAATATCCATTGTTTCGTGTTCTGTCTTGTGTTGATACTTTTAATACCCTATTAATATCCTCTAATGCCACATCATCCTTCCCACCTCACTCAAATGTAATGCCACATCACCCTTCCCACCTCACTCAAATGTAGATATAAAATCAGGGAAATGCAAGTTCTAATCAGTTGTGTATTTGTGAAGTCTTTGAAAATGTAATAAGTTTTACGAAACGCGCCCGTGTCGCGTCAGACTAGAAATAAAAATGAATTTTGGAGAAGTGATTTTTGATTTACCTCCAACAGTGAAGCGTAATGTACGAAAGATTGAGAAAATTCGTGTTAGAATTATTAATCTTACTTTTTCGGTCATATTTAATAAAATATATATATATATATATATATATATATATATATATATATATATATATATATATATATATATTTAATAAAATATATATATATATATATATATATATATATATATATATATATATATATATATATATATTATTAAATATGACCGAAAAAGTAAGATTAATAATTCTAACACGAATTTTCTCAATCTTTCGCACATTACGCTTCACTGTTGGAGGTAAATCAAAAATCAATTCTCCAAAATTCATTTTTATTTCTAGTCTGACGCGACACGGGCGCGTTTCGTAAAACTTATTACATTTTCAAAGACTTTAGTTCACAAATACACAACTGAATAGAACTTACGTATCTCCGATTTTATATCTACATTTGAGTGAGGTGGAAGGGGTGATGTGGCATTAACACAAGACAGAACAAAATGTGGTATTAATAGGTTATCCCTACAGACAAAAATCAGAGGATACAACTGACGATTTACTATAAAACCAGAAAAACGGCCAGCCTACTCATGAGAAACTCTCCAGACACAAAACAGAACGCTTTAAAAGAGACTAACGTCGTCTATGCCTTCAAATGCCCACTTGGGGACTGTAAGCTCCAAAAAACCCAGTATATAGGCAAGACAACAACATCTCTTTCTAGGCGTTTAACGATGCATAAGCAACAGGGCTCCATTAAGGAACATATAATCTCTTCCCACAACCAAACCATCGCCAGAGAAATCCTAGTAAACAACACAGAAATCATCGATAGATACAGCGATAGCAGGCGGCTTGACGTTTGCGAGGCATTACACATCAAGAAGTCAACACCAGCAATCAACAGCCAATTATTGCACAACTATATTCTACCCACCTCAAGACTCCGCTCCAATATAGAAGCATCAAGAAATATGGACCAATAGGCTTTCTACAAACACTTCTATTCATATCCATTGTTTCGTGTTCTGTCTTGTGTTGATGAAATTAATACCCTATTAATACTCTTGTTCTGTCTTGTGTTGATGATATATATATATATATATATATATAATATAATATAATATAATATAATATAAGTATACCATTATACCATACAAGTTATATTTTTGTTATAGGAGAATGTGAGGACCGGCTTACAGTGTGCGGCTGGGCTTTGATAACCAGTCATGCATAACTGTCACAGTGAGTTAGTGTTTGTTTTCCGTGATGTTAAATAGGATGAATAATGCCATAAATAATGGTCGAGAGAAAGTTTTAAGAATATATAATATTCTTTCGCTGTTATGAAATATAAAAATTAAGGGCGGGGCTGGCTGTCCCTCCCTCCGTCATGGGAAAGGACGAGAGCTACAGTAAAGGCAGAATTTACTTTTTTTGTAAAATATAATAAAATATTAGATGTAATGGAACATTAATTATTCAGTTTTGAAAGTGCAGTGAACTTGAAAATCTGTCATTCTGCAAGTTAAATGTAACAGAAGGATTCGGTTCTGGTATTACAATAATTATATTTGGAATCTGTAGCGAAATGATCTACGTCGTCCGCTTGCAACCGTGTGTGTGTTCCGGGTTCGATCTCTAAAAGGCACAAAAACGGTTGGGTACGATCCCATTCACCTGATGTCAGCTCACCCAAGACTATAAAAGGTACCCGAGAGTAAGGCAACGGCCGTGGGAGGTGTCCAGGGGAAGGTCAGTAGCCGGCCAGGGCCGGATGGGGACCTTGATAAACATAACAGGCTTAATCCGGTCCCCGCCAATGGGAAACCATATTTGGATGTCATGAAAATAACGAGGCTTCCTGTGATGTGCATCCATGCATTCACTGCACTGAATATGATGCTGAACAATGTTACACAACACCAACCAAATATATAAAACATATTTTTCTAAGTAATTTTAGCATGAAAATGTGCATTAAACATTGTTACAATAAAAACAATATAATTCCCTTTGTCAGGAACAGGAAGCCTGTACTTATGCTGGTGATTCAATGAAATATCTATGCCCAAGCTTACCACCAAGTGCTGTCGGGTCGTTGGGGATGTAACCTCGGCTACCAATGATTTTTGTACAGTCACGGTGGTCGAGAGGTTAAGGAACCAGGTACGCCATGGTGCATAGTGCTCCTGATTGTCTGGTTTCGAATTCTTCTGGGGTTTGGAGTTTTTAGTTATATATTTATATATATAATACAGTATGTATCTCTTAACTCTTCAAACTTTCATAAACTACCAAAAACTATTAGAATAATTAGTTTTAAAGAAATTAAGACAATTTTATAATTGTCGAATGTTGAGCTATCAAATACAGATGTTCATAAATGAGGTATATAATAATGTGTTCAATTTTATATAATATCATCACCGAGACTACTGAAGATAGTGGGCCTACACAAGGCTTCCTGTCCCCGTTGAGAAGTTGGTCTTCGGGTTAATTCGAAAAACTTATATATAGACTGTTGGGTGAAATTAATGTTTATGAGAAATGAGTTCATTGTAGAATGTCAGAACCGCTATATATATGTCTCATAGGCGTAGTACCTTCTTTTGATAATTAATTATTTACTCAGTGGAGGCTGGAATGTTGAAAAGATATAGGCATTGATTAGGTATAAGCTGAGACTATTAGCTGCATAAGAGCCAGAAGAATATGAAGGTAAAACGACCCTTTGCCACTCTTTGAGATTGATCAAGTTAAGCTGTGATGGTCAATTAATCCTTGTTATTATTCATGATTTTATTATTGTTATTATTCAGTGTAAGTGGAATCTCCATTATTGGGCTTCAGCTGAACATTACGTCAGTCTTTTTTGCTTTAAATTGCAGATGTATTTATGCCTCATTTGTCAAGTTAACTTTGTTAGTAATGAAAACATGCTCATATTGTGTTTCTTATTACTCTCTCATTCAATTTTCAAACAATTCATTCATACTGTTTTGAAGCATTTACAATATATATAAATTTAACTTTCTTTTACTTTTTTCACACTGGCGTGAAAAATAGTTGTATGTTGTGACTTTAAAACTGGGGGAATGACCTGTCAAAAGAAACATTAATGTGTCCCTTGGTCAAACGTCTATACAAGACACATACATGAACATCCTATTTTACTGTGTCTTTGAGTGTGTGTACATGTACAAATGTACCACAACTTTGTTTTCTGTTGTTCTAGGTCATCTATGTTAATATGTTTTAATAACTAAAAAAGAAGGTTGTGATGTATTTGTGTGTAGAAATTTAGCTCTCAGTACAAACACGTGTTTAAGAGTTAAGCAAATGTCATAAAAGTGTTGTTTGGTGCAGGTGGTGTACCAGAGGAGAGATCTGTACAAGACAGAGCCAGCGTACCGTATCTCAGGCAAGGAGACAGACATTCAGTGGGAGATCCTTACCAACGGCCCTGTTCAAGGTGAGTGTTTTTCCCTCTTTTGGGGTGAACGTGTGGAGGGGGTGTGTTGCTGGTGGCTTGCTTATGGTGTAAGTCATATAGTTTTAATATGACATTAAAATATGACATCAACCCCAGGCGACGTTGATTCAACGTCGATGACATTGAATTACTGTATTCTCAAGCCTCTTTTGCCCACTGGGGAGAGGTTGGGAAGGAGAAAGGGAAAATGGAAGAGAGGCAGAGCGGCAGAGAGAGAGAGAGAGAGAGAGAGAGAGAGAGAGAGAGAGAGAGAGAGAGAGAGAGAGAGAGAGAGAGAGAGAGAGAGGGAGAGAGAGAGAGGGAGAGAGGGAGAGGGAGAGGGAGAGAAGGAGAGAACCTGGCACTGCTAAGTACCCCATCAAGTATACAGAATAACCAAAAAAGTTTTATCAAAATCAATATTTGTACTAATTTACCTTTTTTGTTGGCAGCAATAATGAGAGTACAGAAGGACCTGTTCATGTACCAAAGTGGAGTGTACTCCAGCACGGGGCTGGCGGGACAGGAGACGGCCACACATTCTGTCAGGATCATCGGCTGGGGAGAGGACAACTTCCTGGGATCTTTTCCTGTCAAATATTGGGTAAGGACAGTCTAACCTGAAGGGGGGGGAGACAAACAATTTAAAATTGATTATGAGTAAAAGAATAATTACAGTTCAAAGCTTTCAAAATTGTGTGAGTGTAAAGTGACTGAGACTGTTTGTGCATGTATAATAGTGAAGCATTTGTTTATATAAAAAAATGTATATGGTATTTGGTAAAGGTGAGTGTGTGGGGTTCATTATAACTTCCATCGGCAGCTGGTGGCCAACTCGTGGGGTACTGACTGGGGTGAGAGAGGCTTCTTCAGGATCGTCCGTGGCTACAATGAGTCTGATATCGAGACTTTTGTCATTGCTGTACGTGCCCGACTTGGTAGCTACGCCAGAGGTGGCCGGACACAAGATTTACGAAGACCGGGGGGACGCAGTTATTAAAATGGTAACCACTTTCAGAACTATAGTGCGTTGAGAAAATACTACCAATGTCTGTCAAAGAATAAGTGTCACAATGCTATGGCTGGAAGATCTAAACATGAAACTCGCATTGCAAGGAGAAGGAAGAAGAAAGTAAGGTCCTTTGAGATTAATGTTTGCTGTTGTATGTAATACATTTGAGGGGTAATAATTAATATTAAAAGGTGTAAGTTAACATGAATGTAAATACAAATTAGGTTAAACCAATAAAATATAGTTTTCCTTTATGATACTTAATGCTAGTGACTGTAGACTACCTTAAGATTCTTCCAACTTTAGTGGTAAATTTTCATTCTAAGAAGCGAGAATTGCTACAACTTTTAATATTTTTAGTGCTTAAATAAATATATATATATATATATATATATATATATATATATATATATATATATATATATATATATATATATATATATATATATATATTTACCTCATAATATCAAGTAGGCATAATTTCGTTCACATTTAAAGTTGGCTAAATGTAGTTCTACATTTTATTGCATTTGAAAGGCTATTTCACAGTTTATAACCTTTTATTTGCAAGGCATTTTTGCTTTGGTCGAATTGGGCTCATGGAATATCTGATGGACACATGTGTCTTCTCTGGTGCCTCAGTCTTATTGCAGCCATCTAAGAAGCGTTTGAAGTTAGGATTTATACTGCTATTTAGAGGTTTTGAAGATGTATAATACACTTGAAAGTGTGTAGTGCTTTAATACTTAGCATGTTGAAATATATATATAAAGGTACAGCATGCTGTCTGGGGTTGGAGTGTGTTATTGCTCTAATTGCTGGTTTTTGTTGTGTAATTCTGTGTCCGAGACCATTTTGAGTCATGCAAGCCCAGGTGAAGATACCGTAGGTGAGACATTAATACACGAGTATATAATCTTATCAGTGCAGAGTGAGGTACATAGTAATTTATCATTATAAGGAAGCACATACTAAAGGCTTAGAACGCAACATAGTGATGAGTAGATAAAGGTATGTACACAACGTTCTTCCTTGTAATGTCTCGAAAAGATGTACATAGACGAGACTGGTAAATATTTTGCTAAATTTGTAAGACTCATTTGTCTTTGTCTTTAAGACAGTCTAAGTCTTTTTAAGACTAAAAGGCATTATTTTTAAGACGGTAGGTAATGAATATATTATTGCTTTCGTTAACTTAAGTGATACTGGCAATAATATTGATTTTGATAACTGCAAACAAATGCTTAAATCCAATAATTAAGACAAATTTTTTAATAAATAATTAAAAGTTCCGAATTTCAACGTATGAGTCAATATAATGTTAACAAAACAAATTGTACCAAGGTCAATGAAAACCTTTACCTAGTTTATGTATTGTTGTTGATCAAGCGGCAGTTATATATGGTCACAAGGGATTTTTCACATCATTTCTTATAAGATGAAGGATGTAAAGTATAATAATGTAGAAGTACATTAAATACATCATTGCATATTGCATCCATATACTGTAATATTCAAGAATGGTGAAATAATTGTTTAATTTGAAAAGCTTCTGGAAATGCCGAGAATTTAGGTCTTTTGTTAATACGAATGTAAAAAAAAAGCGCAACAAATTTGTACAAATTAATTTTAGTTTACCAAACTAGTGGCCGCCAACAGGTCAATTGGTCAAAGTGCTATTCTTTTACTAAAGATATATTTAATACTAATATATCTAACAGTATTTTGCTGTTCAATAGAGTGCAGCATAATAGATCATGAAAACACACTCAATACAATTCACAGAACGCTACAAATCAAGATTTTGCTGTTCTTAAAAATTTCATTATTGATTTTTGTCTCTTGCATTAAAAAAATATATAAATAAAAAAAAAAGCTTGTTGAAAATCCATAGGCCTGTAGGACGAGGCCACTATAAAATCTTCTTGGAGCTTATTTCCTAAAGTTTTAACAAGAAATGATGTCCAATATACGGGATCAACTGCTGAGCAAAATATATTAATTGCTTCATGAAGGATTTATATAATAATTTACTACAGTCGCATGGTATTATGGTGTAAATGTGACTTTGACATCTCTGTGTATATTATCATGAACAAAACACTGCCATTTAAAGAAGCTTTAAACAATGTAAAAGGATGAAAATATTTAGCTTAGAAACAGACTTTTCTATATTCAATTACACACTTCCTCTGTGTCCATTTGCGTGAAATAAATATTACTATTAATATATGTCACTATATTAAATATTTTAATCATAATAATTTAATTACATTTTTTTAATTTTATGTACTAGAATGCCAGTTATAAATTTGAGAAGCTAAATTCTACAGAAGTAATGTGTTAAAATGATTCGTTAAGAGTATATTTTGTGCTAGAAGTTCAGTTAGATTATTTTCTTTTTATACGATAATTTGTAGAATGAGAAAATAATGTGTTTTAATTAGTTGGTTTAAATATGACCCCACAATCATGTGAAACATGACAATATTCATGCCTCATACATTGGTTATTTGACTTTTTTTTTTACATTTTTAAACAGTTACTACCATCAAATATATGGAATACTTATGTGCACATTATAATTCAGGTATTGTTTCAATCCTAAATTGTGTATCATTAAAATTGTTTAAAGTACAAATCTTTATGTATAAAGTTACCCTTTATGAAAAATGTAGGCACACAAGTTTACGCACATAAATTTGCACACATACATACTTTGATAATCACATTGTTGAGGAATACGAACTTAGGTGGTAAAACGTAAACTTTATACGAACGAGATGGAAAAAAAAGTCACGTAAAAGCCTAGGATAAAACTTGTCACTAGAAGCTAAAGAAAAATTGAAAAATACTCCGTTATTAACATAAGATCCTAACACTGAAGTTCAAAACTAGAAATAATAAGACCACATGGTTTTGTGAGAGGATAAACACTGAAGAATACATCGACCAAAGGAAAGGCTTCTTAGAGATCCATTTGCTGTGAGGCCTGCGATTTAATGTATTCATGTACTGTGCTGATAGTCAGGATTATACTTATTACATTTAGTATTAAATGTATTCTCTATTCAGAGGATGGAGTTTAGAGTTTATTAACAGAAAATAAGAAGAATATATAGGGAGGTAAATGTAACAACACAATTAAGTGTATTTATGTACTATGCAGACAGTCAGGAATGTATTTATTACATTTAGTATTAAAACGTACTGTCTATTCGGAGGATTATGAATGGCTTCCAGCCAGTTTTTGTGTATTGGAGTCTTGGGGGTGAGGGTTTTTGAATAGGGTTAATTGATTGTCAATATTATTGGTAGTGACATTATCCCCTCTCCTCTAAGTGGGTGTTCAGGGAGTGGTGGTTGTTTGACCACCTAACTATGATATGCCTAGCTTGCCACTCTGAACTTGCCTAACTCATTAGTTGTGTAGAATGGCCTCAAATGGGTAAAATTTCCGTTCCCTATTATATTGTGTATGACTTCTCCTGCCTGAATGTTTCTGCCGTGTCCCAAGGTTCGGTGTTTTGCGTTCAGATCTCTCAGGAAGTAGGCAGATCTATTCCTCCTGGTGAGATTCATGATGTCGGCCAAGAGAATGTAAGGTAGTCTTGGTGGTTGGTGGCAAGTTCCAATGATTGTACCTTTTGTCGTTTAGAGCTCAATTGCCAGGAAGTTTTCCTGAAAATGATCTTTGAGTTTGAGTGGTAGATATCTCTTTACATCAATTGCTGCTCCATCGTTGGCCTGGTCAGGGGCCAGATTCACGAAGCAATTACGCAAGTACTTACGAACCTATACATCTTTCCTCAATCTTTGACGGCTTTGGTTATTAAACCAAATTTAATAAAAACTGCTATTAAACAGTTTACAAAAATGAAAACATCCCAATCAACTGTTGTTATTGTTATAAACAGCCTCCTGGTGCTTTGGAGCTCATTAACTGTTTAATAATTGTAAACAAAGCCGCCAAAGATTGAGAAAAAATGTACAAGTTCATAAGTGCTTGCGTAACTGCTTCGTGAATCTGACCCCAGCTCTGTTGACCTGGCAAGTTATGTGTTAACAGTATTTATCTTCTTCTTTTTCTATGGCTGTTAATGAGTATTATATCCGGGTCTACGTCTCTGTATAAGTTGATGAGTTCCATTGCTCTGTGCGGAGTTCAGTTTAGTGCCTTGCGTTGCATTATTTTTAATGACTGGATAGCTAGGTTGAAACTGATAAGTTTGATCAAACTGAAAGGTTTGATCAAACACCAAGAATTGTTTAGGGTCGAGGCGAATCCATTGCGCATTGTGTTAAATTTATTGCTACTTATCTGTTGGGTTATTTGGTGAGTTTGGTTGAAATCTTGTGGCATTATATAGTCGTAGACCTGACCTTTAGTGACGTTGAGAAGGTTGTGTTGGAATATTATTTGTTGAGTTTTTACAAGCTCTTGAAGAGTCTTACGGTTAATATTGTGGGTCTTGCTTGTCGAGAAGAATTCGATCATGATTGAGGATTCTTCTGAATCTTAGTATTGTGTGTTTGAGTCTACCCCATTGTCTGTGTGTGTGAGGTTAGCATTGATGCCCACTGCGAGTTAATTGTCTATCTCGGCTATTTCGTTATTATTCTCTATTTGTGGTGTCTCCTGTGGTGCTTGTAGGTTTGTAGCCTACCTTTGGGATCATTAGTGGTGGTTGCTTGTGTTTCATGTTCCTCTGGTTTAGTGAGGCTTTCTGCATTCGTGGGTCCTTGCACTTGTTGGGAGTTAGTACCATGTAAGGGTGTGCTGATAATGTTGCTGGCCACTAGGGTTCTTACGATATCGAGGGAAGGAACATTGTCTGGGAAGTCCATTTTGGGAAAACCATTATTCCTATACATTTGCTTAACTTCGATTTTTGTTGCCGCCGAAGGCGGCTAGTTTATTGTGCACCCCATACTCATCCTGTGAGCGGTAGCGCAAAAGCATTACAGAGGGCACAAAAGGTCTTTATCAGACCTCATCTTAGATTATTACATAAACAATTTCTTCAATCCTTCACACCTTATAGATACAATGTCAGCTAGTTACAGAGAAAGTGCTATTACAAGAGCTACATATTTACAGTAAGTCATCATACATTAATGGTAGGTCTTATCGTTAATACATAATAGTTTGGCCAATGGGGATATTACAGAGTCATAGGGGAGCTTCTGTTTATTATTAGTCCTCACAATACACTACTTGTTTCTGAATCTCATATGTCGTTCATCTACTGGAAGCAAAATGTGGGTACAGTGCAAGGATTTCAGGTAATTTATCCATGGAAATAAGATAGGTTGCCATATCATACAGAGTGAGCTTAGACTTATCTCTAAAAGGCTCAATTTTACAACAATCCAAGATATAGGGTCTGAATGATCCTGGCTTAGCTACGTTTTCTAGGTGAGCATAGATCCTGCTGCTCAAGATTTGTGTTGGTAGGTCACCATTTACCAGCTAGGGTATCTGTGCTGAATTGTTTGATGCCTAATTTGTCCTTACATTTATTGTAGTTATACCTGCATTGGTATTGTTGGCCATTGTTTTCTTTTTTGTTGCAGCTTTGTCTGGTTTTGTTTTGGTTTGAGGGGGAGACTTTCTTGTAGGAGAGATGGATGGACCCTTCCTCCACAATTGAGGCACTTGGCGTTTCTTTTGTCTTTGCACTCCCTGAAAATGTGACCCTGCTGGCCACATTCAGAACATAATTTGATAATCTTATGCTGGCAGTCTGCGGTTGTGTGGTTGTACTTGTAGAGTGTCCAACATGGGGGTTATATTGAAGTATACTCCTTGTTTTAAGTTGTTGTTGACTGCTCAGGTGGTAGTAGTTGCAGTAAATATCTAGGCTGAGGGCTCTTTGTGCCATGGTGATTTTTTCAAATCTTACTTTCATCGTTCATGGCGTCCTTGGCATGAGAATTACTTCTTCTACCTTGGCCCAATCATTTCTTCTATGTCTTCGCGAATGCTTTCAAGGGCATCTTTAATAGGTGATGCATCAAGTCTCTTCATGACTATTGTCTTCCTGGCCTGCAGCGCTGGGGGTATAATGACATCAAGTTTGTACTTTGTATGTTATCTCCCTTGATTACGATGTCAACATCTTCATCCTGGTAGCACAGTGCTATGAATGCGGAGTCCTTGGTGGTATATATCTGGAAAATCGTACTATGAGAGGGACCAACATTTGGGCTTGTTCATTGTTTAATATAGCATACCCCACTCCCAATAAGGGAGTGGGGTATGCGTAAGGGAGTGGGAATAAGGGTATAAGGGATTTTTACTCGATAAGCTCTCACTATCTCGGTACTTGTTGCTCATTCTTTTTTTGGGGGGTTTTCTATGTCTTAATTTTTCCTCTCCCTTCCTAACAATAAGCGCTTCTGGTAGCTGGCTTGGAGTTTTATCTCTCCAGTGTTTATGTTAGGTCTTATTCTTCTCGTCTTCCCTGGATCCTCTGACCGCTGACTGCTGTTAGCTGGCTTAGAGCTCTCCATAGCTAAGATAACACTTTATTCTATTACTTGTCCCTGGAACACGAACCGCTAATCTGCTTATACTCGATGGTCGATATATATATATATATATATATATATATATATATATATATATATATATATATATATATATATATATATATATATATATATATATATAATGTTGGTCACCTAATTCTCCAGTACTCAGAGTGCCAGCCTGGGAGGATAAAACCTTTACAATTCTCAAACAACGTAAACAAACTATTTCTCAACCTTGTTAAACCTTTTCCCACAAATCTATCCCACAGAATAGGTATTGGAAGCATAATAAATGAAATAAACGGTCAAGTTAAATATATCTTCTTTTTATCTTCTTCTAATCACTACAATACATTATTTGTATTCATGTTGAATCAACAAAATTTGCAACACCCTCGAGAGAAATCAGAATAATAAAGGAGAAAGTTTGCAATATTTGTGCACGAAAGATACTACGGGAAAATTCGCAGGGGTGCATTGTGCTCCTTGCTAAACAGGTCCGCAGAATTCATGGCCAAACTTGGAGCACGCTACGACAAAGTTCAGCAATTCTCACTTCAGACAACAACGAACGATCTCAAGGCTCTTTCCTGCACACACACTGGCGCGAAGAAGGCAGTGAGTAGGTGTGTGCGTGTGTGTGGTTGTAGGTGTGTGTGTGTGTGTGGTTGTAGGTGTGTGTGTGTGTGTGTGTGGTTGGTTGTAGGTATGTGTGTGTGTGTGTGGTTGTAGGTGTGTGTGTGTGTGTGGTTGTAGGTATGTGTGTGTGTGTGTGGTTGTAGGTGTGTGTGCGTGTGTGTGTACTCACCTAGTTGTACTCACCTAGTTGTGTTTGCGGGGGTTGAGCTCTGGCTCTTTGGTCCCGCCTCTCAACCGTCAATCAACAGGTGTACAGATTTCTGAGCCTATTGGGCTCTATCATATCTACACTTGAAACTTTGTATGGAGTCAGCCTCCACCACATCACTTCCTAAGTGATGTGTGTGTGGTTGTAGGTATGTGTGTGTGTGTGGTTATAGGTGTGTGTGCGTGTGTGTGTGGTTGTAGGTGTGTGTGTGTGTGTGTGGTTGTAGGTGTGTGTGTGTGTGGTTGTAGGTTAGTGCG